TATCTTGTCTACATAAATGTTGACTTCCAATATCGCCTGAGAATATCCAAGAACGATTTTGCTTGAAGTGATCAATAAAACTTCTTTGTTCGTCATTTTTGATCTTGAAATCATTAATAACGGATTCCATTTCTGTATCATCATAGGATTCAGGTTGAGCTGGATATTGATCAGAGACACAAATAACACGAAAAGTTCCTTTGTTTCCTTGATGAGCTGTTCTTCTGTAAGCCTGATGCATTACACGAGTATTAGATGAGAAATTTGATACAATTACATATAAATGCTTTGATGATCTTTGAATAATGTCTGTTCCACGACCACAAACATTTGTTCCTAATGAAACAGCTCCTTCTAAACCCGCAATTCTATCAGGACGAAGGATTTCATCTTTTCCATTGAAGATGTCGATGTATTTAATGCCACATTTATGTAACATGTAAGCAACTGTTTCTATTTCTTTCAAGTCTTGGAAAAAGGCAAGAATTGAGTTCAAAAGAGAATATGGAATACAAAAAAAAAAAAAAAAAAAAAAAAAAAAAAAAAAAAAAAAAAAAAAAAAAATGGTTGAAAGCAAATATTTCTGGTCTGCAATAAATAAATCAAATATGCTTTTTATAAATATTTGGGTTTTGGTTTCAAACTATTTTGAGAGATTCAACAAAAATTTTCCCCATTAAAATTTGAAAATTTAAAAAAAAAAGTTTTTTATATTATAAAAAGTGTGGTAATTATGATGATACAATATGGGAAAATGAGGAATGAATTTTATGTTATTTAATTTAATATTATAAAATTTATTCAATTTTTTGTTTCAACAATGAAATTACTTTTTTATTACTTACCAATTCAATTGGCGTTTTTCCATGCTCATCTTTAACATTAACATCAATTTTTTTATTTTTTAATAAAAGATTAATAATATCTAATTTTTCTGATAATGCAGCAATATGCAAAGGAGAATCTGTTTTGATAAAATTCTCGCCATCAATATTAATTGTTTTACAAGATAGAAGATTAACATCAATTTTTCGATTTTTTAATAAAGTTTGTATAATTTCTTGTTGTATATTTTCAACTGCCAGATATAAGGGAGTCTTTTCACACCTCATTATTCCACAAGATGAATTTTTCGTCTCAAGTGATTTTACATTGACATCTATAGATGGATATTTCACTAAAAATTCAATTATAAGCAGAGATCGATCTTGAATGGCTTTAAATAATGGTGTTTTTTCAGATTTTAATGTGCTATCAGGAAGAATTTCTTCTGATTTAATATTAGGATTAGTATTAGTATTTGATAATAATAGAGCAATAATTGAAGTTAATTTTTTTTCAACCGCATAATATAGAGCTGTTTGCTTTAATGTCATTTTTATTGTTGACTCAATTGATAGATCATTAACATCAATATTTGGATTTGACAGTAATAATTTCACAATTTCGGTAGATTTGTTTTCAACAGCTTTGTATAATGGAGTTTTTTGTGCTTTATATGATGCTAATATCCGTATTTCTGATGATTTCATATTAACATTTATATTCGGATTAGATAATAAAAGTTTAACAATGTCATCATATTCATTTTCAATTGCAATAAATAATGGTGTTTTTTCAGATGTCGATTCTTTTGATTCTTCAATAACCTGAATATTCACATCAATACTTTGGTATGATAATAAAAGTTTAACAATTTTAGTATCATGTAATTTAACCGCAATACCTAGTACTGTTTCTTTTATTGTTCTGTCTTTTTCTTCATCATAATCGCTATCAATCTCATCATTCATTTTTGATTGATAATTAGTCGATACGAAATTAAGGTCAATTTTTGGTTTTGATAATAAAAGTTTAACGATTTCAATGTTACTATTTTCAACAGCAGTTTTCAATAATGCCAAATTTACCAAATTTATTGAATTGTTTTTAACAACAGTGTATTTACAATTAACATCAATGTTTGGATTTGATAATAAAACTTGTGCAATTTTAGATTGATCCATTTCAATAGCTAACTGTATAGCAGTTTTTTTACTTATTGTATTTTTATATTCGTATTCTTTATTAAAAGTATCATTAATAAATATATTCGGATTTGATAATAATAATTTGACAATATCAATAGATTTTATTTCAACAGCTCTATATAACAAAGGAATTTCTATTTTGTATTTTTGGGATATCATTGTTGATTTCGCATTAACATTAATCCTTGGATTTGCCAAAAGAAGTTTAGCAATATCTATACAATTATTATGAACTGCTATAAATAATGGCGTTTCTTCAGTAGTGAATTTTGCTGATGTCTCAATTGATGCAATATTTACATTAATATTTGGATACGATAACAGTGCTTTAGTAATATCTATATCATTATTCTCAATTGCAATGCATAATGCTGTTCTTTTTATTTTTACTAAATTTTTACCTCGCCCACTTTTATTGATACGAATAACGTTTGCTTCAACAATTGCATTAATGTTAATATTAAATTTTGATAATAACAATTTTACAATTTCTATATTTTTATTTTGAACTGCACTACTTAACAGAGTTTCATTCGATTTTGAATCTTTTGAAACAAAATTGTTATCAATCTTTGGATGCGATATTAATAGTTTACAAATTTCTATATTTTCAGTATCAACTGCAATTTGCAACGCAGTAATATTTTTTAATATTGTTGAATCATTTTCAGTTACTAAGTATTTGCTGTTAACATTAATTTTGGGATGTGATAACAAAAGACGAAGTATTTTTAAATTTCCTTCTTCAACAGCCAAATGCAAAATTGTCTTCTTTGTTTTGACGATTTCATCATTGGTATTCATTTGAATTGTAATTGTATCATTGATATTAATAGAAGTTGTTGATAATAAGGTCTCAATTAATTGAAAATTTTTGGTTTTATTCTCAAAAGCAACTTGTAGCATTGTTTTCTCAACTATCCAATTTTCTTTTAAACTTTCAGCATCATCGTTTATTCGATACCAATTAGTTTTCTCTACCAATTTTATATTAAAATCAATTTGTGGACTAGATAAAATAAGTTTAACGATGTCAACATTTCCTTTTTCAATCGCAAAAGCCAATATCGGTTTTTCAACCGTTTTTTTGGACCATCTAAATTGATCAAATTTTTTTAAAAAACTGTCAGACATTTCTATTTTTTTGTTTACGTTGAACGATGGTAAAAGAAGCTTCACTAATGTGTAATAATCATATTCAACCAATTTTACAACATATTTATTAATTAACAAATTTTCAAACAGCATAAAATTATAATATTGATGACAATATTTGTTGTTTTCAATAATGATATCTGAATTTACTTGTAAAAAAGTGTATCCAATATAATATGCAATATCGTTATGATGAGACTTGATTGCTTCTTCAAAACACTTTGAATATGTTTCATCTTCAGGCTTAATATTATTACTCTCAAGAATATTTAATATTTCTTCATTACATCCATGAACACCATAGATCCACAAAGACGGAGTTAAAGACGCTTTATGTGAATGCAAAAAATTGAATATTTTGATGGATCCAAAGAAAGATGCATATTCAATTAATGATGCTTTTTTATTCGTTAAAATAGTATTTGTTTCAAATATTGATTCATTAACTTTTGAATTAAGCGATATATTATTATCTGTGATGTATTTATCAAATTCTTCAACAGAATCATTTCTAATCAATTTACATATTTCATTGTCATTTTCACCAACTTTTCTTTTTTCATTAAATAAAAATTTCTTTTGATCATCTATTTCTTCTTCATGATTGAACTTAAAAAGAACCAATCCCTCTGAAAATTTATCACTATCATTTTCTTTTTTGTTTTCTTGCTTGCCTTTTTGATTTCTATTTTTTTCAAATGATTTAATTTCATTTTCGAAATATAAAAAATAATTTTTTATTCTTGAAATAGATTTATAAATTGATTCATCAAACAAGATGATTTTTTGTTCAATTAGAAATAAAAGAATTCTTTTGTTGCTTTCAAAAATTTCGAAGATTTCGGAATTCGTAAAATATTTGTGGAATTCGTCTTTGAAGTAAAGTAAAATCATTTCAATTTTGTGGTAAAAATTAGTTGATCGGTGATGATAATTGGATAAATGAACAATTAACCTTAAAAATAATTTCATTTCATATTTGTTATTTCGAATTTGTTGATCATCAAAAAAATTGGTTATATTTTGGTAATTTTCTTCCATGCTTTCATTACTGTTTAAAAACGATAATATATTAAATTGATTTTTTTTTATTATCTCAATGTAATTTTCAATCTCCATGGAGATTTTATAAAAAATAAAATTGAATATTTTATCTCAAATTTTCAACTGGCAATCAAAATTTTTCTGAAAATTTTAAAATAAAAAAAAATAAAAAAAAAATTTCTTGATTTCAAAAGTCAGGATATTAATTAGACTTTATTTGACTATAATATACATTAAATGAGCTATGGTGCCTCACACAATAAGGATCTATGCAGGAATAAAAATAAAAATCCATGTAAGATTGTTCGGAGCTTTAAAAAAGCTTTTTGTTCTGTAATTTATGCCCAGTATTCAAGATAGTGTGGCAATTAGATAATTACTTTATATACATTTAGAGATATATTCTCTATTTCATAAATACATCATTTTGAGTATACCAATCATCTTGAGAATATACCAGTCTTTTTAAACCTATTTTGTTTGAATATAAATTTTAAAAAAATTATGTAATTAAGATAATTCTCACTATGAGAAACCAAATTTCAAGATGAATATTTAGTTATTCTATGTTTTGTCATCGAGATAAAGATAAAATACTTAAAAACAAGAGTATTACCATGAATTATGAATCAAAGATAAAAATCAATCAAAACAAAATTGATTTAAGTTCCTTCAAGAAAAAGTATTTTATTGCTTGAATAACACTGAGAAAATGATTTGCAAAAATAAAATGAAGTTTAATTAATCATTTATAAGAATTAATCAAAAAAATGTCCAAGGACGGAATCGAACCGCCGTAAGAAAGGTGTTAACATTCCATTCTAGCCATTGAATTACTCGGACTATTCGTTTTTTTAATGTTTTAAATCACTATTTAAAATTTTCTTTGTTTAGAAAAATATTTAAAATTGACATATAAAAGGTCAAATATGGTCTTTAAATTGGCATTAATAAAAAAATCAATACAATTAGGATAACTTATTTTTTTTAAATAGAAAGAATTATTAATAAAAATTATTCACAATCCAAATATTCAATTGAGTTATATAACTCAAATTTCTTTCCTTTGTATTCTTTCAACTGAATCTTCTGGCAAGAAGAGTTATTGAAAGCTTCCACTTCAATTTCATCAACTACGCCAAAGACAGCTTCTTGGAGTGAAGAAGTATCTTCGAAAGCGTTTCTCTTGATTGCCCTAATTAAGTTTTCGGTGCCGCCTGAAGAAGTAACCTTGCTGAGTGACACGCAGCCACTGAATGCCTTCTCTTCGATTGTCGTGAAGTTGCATGGAATATTGATGCTTTCGAGTCCTTCGCAACTCTTGAAAGCGTGGTTTCCAATGACCTTAATTTTTCCATTGAAAGTGATATCTCTCAAAGAAATGCAGCCGAAGAAGATGAACTCAGACAATTCAGACACTTGAGAAGGAATTGTTATGTGCGTCAATGAAGAACAGCCTTCGAAAGCATTACGTTCAATTGTCATTAGACTTTCAGGCAACTCAATCTCTTCAAGTGAGGTGCAAAACCTGAATGCGCATTGATGAATTCTAATGACATTCTCAGGAATAACGAGTTTTTTGATTGATGAACAATCATCGAATGTTGTATCATGAATAGCTGTCAAAATAGAAGGTAAATTGATCTCAGTCAGCATTGTGCAGCCACTGAAGGCGCTCTTTCCAATTTGCTTGACACAATCTGGAATTTCAATTTGTGTCATTGAACTGCATTTCATGAATGTTCCGTTTCCAATGACTTCTACGGATGACAACTTCATCTCAGTAAGCGATGAACAGCCATAGAAGACTTCGTTCTCAAGCGCCATGACTGTGTCTGGAATCGACAACTCAGAGAGAGACGTGCAGCCTTCGAAGCAATTTGCGCAGATCTTTGATAGTCCGGATGGAAGATTGACCTGCTTTAATGATGGGCACTCTTTGAATACTGAATTGTTCAATATTGTAATCGACTCAGGAACGGTTATTTCAGTGAGTGAACTGCAGTTTCTGAACGCTGATATGCCAATCTCTGTAACAGATGAAGGGATTGCAAAATCAGCCAATGCTTGGCAGTTATTGAAGGCATAACTGTTAATCTTTGTGATTGTTGATGGAAGCTCAACATGTGTCAACGAGCTGCAGCCTTCAAAGGTGAAATCTTCAATCTCTGAGACTGAAGAAGGAATGGAGACTTCAGTGAGTGAAGAGCACTTTTTGAATGCCGAGTTACAGATCTTTGTGACTGAAGAAGGAATTTCAATATGAGCAAGTGAGGAGCAGTATGAAAAGGCGCCTTCGCCAATGAATGTCACTTCAGAAGGAATTGCTATTTCAGTCAGTGAATCACAACTCTCGAAGACTTTGTTGTTGATGATTGTAATAGATGAAGGAAGCTGCACGTTTGCCAATTTAAGACAACCAGAGAACACTTCGTTTTCGATTGTTTCAAGAGAGTCAGGCAATGTTATTTCGGTCAATGCCGTGCACTTTTGGAAGGATGAATCACATAGCTTGGTAATTGATGATGGCAGCTCAACTTTTTGTAAGGAAGTACAGTTGCCAAATGCACGTGCACCTATCGTTGTAAGTCCAGAAGGAAAGCTGATTTCTTGCAATGATTCACAGTATGAAAAAGTGTCATCTTGTATCTCAGTCATTTGACAATCATTGAGCAAAATCTTCTTCAAATTCTTGCAGTTCTTGAAGGCTTGGAAACCGATAGAGGTAACCGCTGCAGGAATGTCAATTTGTTCAAGGTTTGAGCAGCCTTTGAATGCCTTCTCGCCAATCGATGTGATTGTCTGAGGAACGACAATTTCTCTCAATGAGAACATGTTTTCAAAGGCGTTCTCTGGAATGAACTCGGCGCCTTCAGCAATGATGATCCTCCTGAGGTTGGTGCAGCCCCTGAGAAGAAGCTTTGAGATGCCTTTCAAGGCAGATGGGATTGTTACTTCAGTCAAAGAGGAGCAGTTGAGGAAGGCATTCTCACCAATGGACGTTGACGATGCCATTGTCAGCCTCTCCAAAGATGAGCAGCCACTGAAGCAGTCAGCGCCAATTGACTCGAGTGGCGATGTTGATGGGTACTCTTTCAATTTGTAGCATCCCTTAAACGTTCCTTTTCCGAGGTTTGAAATTGGCGTTGAAAAGTCAAGGTCGCAGAGAGAAGTGCATCCATAGAATGTCTCGTTTCCGATCTGGTTAACAGAGAGCGGAATCTTGATTTTGCTCAATGACGAGCAGTCCTTAAAGACGGCATCGTTAAGCATTTCTTTGCTGTAGTCAAAGTCAAACTGAACAAGTGCCTTGCAGCCCTCAAACGAGCTAACTCCGAGCTCATTCAAAGCGCTCTTTATCTGGACTTCAGAAAGCTGTGAGCAATCTTTGAATGCCTCTGTTTCAATGGTCGCCACAGACTCGGGAATGTCAACTTCTTTCATTCCAGAGCAGCCCTTGAAGCACGACTTTGGAACGACCGTTATACCCGCTGGAATTGTCACTTTTTCAAAGGATGAACAGCCAGTGAAGCTTCCTTCAGTTAGAGAGGTCAGTGTCGGTATCAGAAGCTCCTTTGCATTCAATGTTTCAGGTATCTCTGGTGCTGAGATTAGCTCGAGTGACTTGCAGCCCTTGAAAGAGTTCTTGCCAACGGAAGTAATTGCTGAAACAGCCGTTACTTTGGTCAATTGAGAGCAACCGTCAAATAATGAATTGGGTATCGCTTTAACGATCGTTGGAAGCGTAATTTCGGTTAATCCTGTATTTGAGAAGACGCCTTCACCAAGGGATCCTAATGTGGAAGGTATGGATATTTCAGTGAGCTTGGGACAAGAGCAGAATGCATTGTTGCCTATTTCTTTGAGTGAAGATGGAAGTTCAACTTTTTCTAAGGACGAGCAGCCATTAAATGCATATTTGCCAATTACTGTAGTATGAGGAGAAAAGGTGATGCGGGTTAACGAAACACATCGGGTAAAGGCAGAGTCTGAAATGGTTGTGACTTGGTCGTCTAGTTTGATGTAGTTGATGAATTTGTTATTTTGATATTGCTTATTGGTTTCTTCAACACCAGTGATAAATAACTCGATTTTGGTTTTGGCTGCTTTGTAACATTGAGTGCGTGAGAGTACTTCGGGTGTAATTCTTGAGAATTTTTGGGGATATTGGATTTGGAATGAGGTATCTACAAATTGTTTCATTTGATCAACCATGTTTTTGGAATCAAGGATATTGTTTTGAACAAGGACTTCAAGAGCTTCGGGAAGTATTGTAATTGAATCAAGATTGGATTCAAGTAAGAGATTTTTCGGATTATTAGAGGAAATGGCAAAGCTTGGATTTGTCTCAGATAATTTTTCGAGCCCAATTAAATAAAGTAAAAGATTATTGATTTGAGTAAATTCGTTGCGATTATCTTGAATGAAATTGGAAACAATTGATTGTTGCCTCTTGATTGGAAGACTATTAAAAGCTTCAATAGTAGGATTCTTTTCATCTACGTCAATTACTTTAGCTGGAATGCTTGCAGGAGCTTTGGGTTTAGCATAATTAGGTTTAGGTTGAGTTGCTGGTGTCTTTTGTATTGGAGCCGGTTGTGGTTGTGGTTGCGCATATGAAGCCCTAATTTTTTCAAACTTATTAGAACTACTTGAAGAAGATTTATTATCAGCAACTTGCGGTGGGTTTGAAAACATTTGGCGTATCTCTTCTTTTCTATCGTCCGGTAAATCTGAAGATTGTATTATTCGTTCTCCATAACTTTCAAGATCAATCTGAAAAAAGTCAGCATGAGTAATCGCTTGCTCAAGATTTTGGCTAAGATATCGGATGGAAGTACTAGCTATAACTTTATTTTTGGGTTTTGCAAGCAATTTTTGGATATTACTAATGATACTACCGTCAGTCATTAAGCAAAAAAAAGATGAAGTAAATAACCACCAAAAAATAATATATTAATGCATCTATCTTTGTAATAAATTATTTTTATATATTATGATATTTATTTATAATTTTATTAATATTTTATATAATAAATATTTGATTAAAGTATACTTTTACTAGTTTGTTTTTGGTATTTTGATAAATATTATATTACGGTTTTTTTAACCTCAAAAATTTTTTGAATGGATATTTTTCCCAAAATAACTGCCTTTATTTGTTTTAATTCTTTCATATAAACCATTTTAATTTATTTTTTATTGATTTGCTTATTTGTCATTATAATCATTTTCAAATTAATTATTTAGTATCAATAATAAATTTTAGAAAATAAAAATAATTTATTGATTCCTATATTTCTATACCTTAGTGTGTCAGATTCTATGAGATCATTCAAATATAATTCTGAATTTAAATAAACAAAAAATTCAATGGATTTTTCCTCAGATTATGAAAGTATCTTAATATTTTTGAAATATATATTTGCTTTATTGGAATACAAATTAGATCTAATTATCGAACAATGATATTGATATATCAATCAAAAATTTTTTTTCTTTAATTATACTCCAGATATACATATCAGGCGCAGGCCGAACAAATTGCTAGTCATGGTTTATTATTGCCTGCTTTGTATTTGACTTTTTGAAACTATGTAAAAAACATAATACTATTACAACATTAATATTTTCTGGGTTTTTAATATTATCAGAGAGTTATTTATTTTAAATCTTGACGTTTTTTAGCTTTGCTTTTTGCTTCGAAACTGTCTAACTACGATTTAATATCAGAATTAAGGGGAATCTCCAGAGGAGAATGTTTATAATCAATCATACTCCTATAAATAACTATATTACAGTAAAATAATGCTCTCTAAAACTGAATACTTAAATTTCTAACA